GCCCGCCACTGGGTGGTGGTCCTCTAGGACCAGCTCCATATGGTGGTGCACCTCGCCCTTGTGGAGGGTATGATCCGCTGCTGTAACCCCCACGGTTCTGATTATAAACTCCGCCTTGGCTTCCGCTAGTAGGGTAACGGTTAGGACCGGGCGGACCACGGGGCTTTCCATAGTACTGGTGGCTAGGTCCGGCAGCTACTTGTGGGGGTGCATTGTTAATGGGATGGTTAGGACCGCCGGGCCAATGTGGAGGCGGATGAGACTGACCTCCACCGTGTTGGATAGGAGGTAACCGATGCTGCTGCTGTGGATGCTGCACTTTCTGCCTTTTCGCAGCTTCCTCATTCTGTCTTTGCTGCTGCCGCTTTTTCTTTGTCTGGAACTCATGGGATGCTTCATATGCCGGTAGACTATTGATACAAAAAAGTAATCGTCCAGTTAAAGAAGAATTCTCGAAATAGACAAGGGGAATATGCAAATGAATCGGGGTTTCAGATGGGTTGACCAACTTGTTCTTGCCAAATGAGGGAATGACACATTACCTCTTTGGATCACATGGCAGAGGATCAGTCCAGAAGTACTCGGCATCAAGAGCGTCCTTTGCTGATATTCTCTGTGCCAGGAAATGGTAAAACCAAAGGATCTCAATGTCAAGAATAATTCGGATCATAATTTGGAGCTCATTGACAAGCTGACTAAATTCCTCAAGTACCTGTGACGGATCAAGCACCAACATTTTCTCCAATAGTTCAAGGGCATGGCGATCAAAGCTGTAAACGAAAGATAAAAGCTCGTTATGAGACCTTGTGGATCATAATATCTGAGTTAGAAAGGCCAGGCATCGACCAAAGTTTTGGTTCACTTACTGTCTGAAGACCTCCCTTACACGGCGTTTCAAGGGCCGTGCTGGTTTGAAATTGTTATACCAAGGCATCTTGGAAACACCGGGCCAATTATTTTCGTCAGGTGATCCACAGAGCTCAAAAATCTTGTTCAGTTGCTCATGCTGGAACAAGGTGTTGAGGAAGAACATACATGTCAGTTTGAGATCAGGAAGCACCACATGATATAGCTTCTACAACGTTTTAAACAAGTTAAGAACGTTCTCGCAACATGAATGGATTATGAATCCTTTTTTCGATATTCAGTTATGCTTTTAAAAATCTCCATTATGCAGGCCGATCCACTTACCTATAGATAGTCATCATTTCTCGGCTACTACTCACTAAAAAAAGCTCTTGAAAGCTTTAACTAATAATCCTACTTCAATGGAATATGTTCAACAGATTTTGAATAGAGAGTAAAAAAAATATAATGCAGCCCAAATACAATGACCAACCAACAAAAACCGTGACACCGGCAACCTTATTTTACCAAGTATAACTAATTATGCATCACGCTGCTTGGGTACTACCAGCAGGAACTTTCAAAAGAACATATTTTACTACATGCATATGCAAAATCCTGACCTCATTTTTCCCCGGCAAGATTGGTTTCCCATGCAGAAGTTCGGCAAAGATGCAACCTACTGACCACATGTCAATAGCCGGGCCATACTTTGTGGCACCAAGTAGCAATTCAGGGGGTCTGCAACAATAAAGTTTACG